ATCTTGGTATGCAAGTAACTTGTGTATTCTGACTAAAATTTTGAGCTTTATCTTGTAGATCTTTGAGTTCCAGCATTTTGTTAGTTAATTTTCTTTCAGTTTTTCTTAATTTGAATTTTAGAACTAACAATAGTGACATGTAATGCTTTACTACAGAATCCAAATCTAAAGTAAATCATATCTGTTGGTGAAGAAATCTATCTTATTGCATCCAAATATATTTGCTTTCCAAAATAACAAGCGAGTTCTTTGTAATTCCTAATATCCTTTACTGCTACTGATGATGGCTTGTAACTTGAAAACTGTGATACCAGCAAGGCATTTTAGCGCAATTGATGCGTGAGCTGTGAATATCTTATATATGCATTTTACATATGTAAGAAAAACAGAATGCAGAACTTTCTGTGTTCTGGCACATTGCTTACATTCCTTGTAGGTGACTAAATTCGTCTTCATATTTCTAACTATTTTCAGGTTTTCAGAAGCCACAAAAGATAATGAGCACAAACGCTCTCTTACCAAGACTCCATCTCGAATGTCTCCGTACATGCAGGAGATCTGCACGCCTGACACTCAAAAAAACTGCAAACCAATAAGTCAGAAAAACAGCAAGGGAAATGCAAGAAATGATTTGCCTGCACCAAAGGGTAAAGTGGATGGTGAATATTTGGCTCTTTCAGATCAAGACTTTTGTCTTAGTGAATAATTATTATATAAATTTTTAATAACACAATGTCATATAGTCCCAGGTCTTAACTTAATTCTCTAATTTATGACTGATTCTTTAGAAACGGCAGTAGTTTTTTGTTTCATTTGTTTTCCAGTGGCTTGAGTAAAATGGTTGGGTGCCAAGACTTAAACATATGGTACCTGGCTACATACAGAAAAGAGGATAGAAAATCTTCTGGACCTTTAGGGATTACATAGCGAAAGATTCATATTGCAGATACAGGGAGACCTTGTCTGTGGTGATAGGAGTTTCCAATGCCTTCTCAGAGACCTCATTCTCCTTGTGGGGTTAGCATGCATTAGGCTTTTAGTTGTTTTTTAGGACAACCTGTTATTACCCGCCTCAGCAACTCTGATTAACTCCAGAACTAAAACTAAGAAAAACCAGAAGTCTTCTGATTGATTGTTCACAATCTCTACACCAGCACAGCTCTGCTATCCAGCCATTGATACCTTTAGCATCACCGGCCTATTGGCACAGACCGAGAACCCAGAGCCTCTTGGTTTGCTCTGTAACAATATTAATGTTTTTAAGGGGAAAACAAAGCTCCATGTTGATCTGAAGTTGATCTGTTCCAAAGGAATGCTTCTTTGTTTAATGTGAAAAGCCACCCAGTTCCACATAGAGACTAGAAAACATAATTGTATTAAAATGTGCTCAGAAGTGTATTAGAAAAACACATGAAGCTGTATATGCTCTTGGATAGTATAATCATACTAAAAGGGCTAGAAACTCTGCAACTCTTGCCCTCTCCAGACCTTGAAACTCTCTATTTCAAGTAAGCTGTATTTGTGCAATTCTATGGTTAAGATGTAGCAGACAGTAGCACTTAAGGGCTCTTTGGTCTTAATAATTGTAAGATGGTCTTCACAGGCACTTCCCAACTTTGTGTACAGCTACACGCAAAGCTACTCTTACTCTTGCTACTATAATTATGATACTGTGATGCCTTTTGTAGTTATCACTCCCTTCAAATTTGGAGCTCAACCTGCAGAACCCACAAGCACAAAGAAGACATTTGATCTCAAAGCAAGTCTCTCCAGGCCACTTCGGTATCAGCCCCATAAAGGTACTGTGATCCTTTGCAGCTTGTGTTGGTCACACACCTTACGCTCAGCTGCTGGCAGGGAGTACTCAGGGAGGCATTGATACAAATTGTGATAGCAAAGTCTTTTCCTGTCCCTTTTCCTTTCTCTCTGGATTCCCACACAGTCTGTGGACTGATGTTAAATTTCTACATAATATATGCTCCAAGAGCTTCACTACTGAAGATTAAGACTTTATGACTAAAAGCACATCAATACAAGAATAAGCACCCTTGTATTCCACTAAATGATGTTATGTCCAGGAAATAGGAAACGTTCTTTACATAATTAGACTTTATTTTGTTTTGAAGTGCACTATTGTTTGAGAAGCTGAACTTTGTGTGGTGAGTTCTAATTCTAAATACAGTCACCTGTTACTACTTCTAGAAGGACTATTGCAGGGAATGAGCTGGTAAAACTGATAATACAGCTTGAAAATGCATTTCATCCTAAGGTCAACCAGCAAAAAACATGCTAGCTAGGATAAAATTCATGATAAGAAGTAAATACACAGTTACTAAACTAATAGTCTCTTTTTACCCTTAAACTGCAGGACGACTAAAACCGTGGGGAGAATTTAAAGAAAACACTGTCCTCAATAAGTCTGGTGGTAGCAATATCTCTTCACGTAAGAAAGATTACAAACAGCCGCATCTCCAGACAAGGTTAGTACACCACTAGTCTTTGTATCAATACTGTTACTTAAAATAATATGTCTCATTCTTCTTGAGATTTAAATATGCAGTGCAGGAAACAATACTTTTGTATTAAAGCTGTTTTTGTTTTAATGACTGTTCAATATCAGGAAGGCCAGCAAGGATGGCCACTCTGATTTTGTTAGACTTTTTTCCATGAAAGTTATCAGTGCTAGAGTTTGGAGATTTACCTTCACCTTGAAAGAAGTTGGCAACAGACGTGTTGCTACCTTGAATGTTTACGTCTAAGAAGTGTGTTCTGTGAATGTGTGTTCAGTCCAAAATGATACTGTTCTCTCTAGTGGCAAATGCAGCACACTGATTAAAGTGGTGTTAAGCCCTGGTCAGTTTCAGATTCCTTTGGTTGCTTGTTTCTCCACCTTTAATATAACTTGATATGGTCCATCTCTCTTCTTTTTCCCCTTTAGGGAAGAAAGGCGTGAGAAACATGAGCAAGAGAGAAAAAAGAAAAAGGCTCAGGCTCTCGGAAACCGTAGAGGAGTATCTGCATGCTAGGATGAATAAGAAGTATCTAAGAAATCACTGTAAATATTGTTCCTGTCCTGTAAATATGTGTGCTGTCTGTGTATGGTTCATGTTGCTATCAGCTAGTGGAATCCAGAGAGCAATTAATGAGACCTTGTATCTAAGCATAATATTTCTGTGATCAACTTCTCCATTGAGATGAGAGTTCTAGACTTTCAGGAGCTTAGAACTCTCTCTTATTGCTTCATAATTTTTAAACTAATTTAAGTAAACCTGTTCAAGAAGGAAATGTAAGTGCGAAAAAAAGATGCTCAAGAAGCCTTCTTGCAGAACAGACTTCTGCACCAGCATGCATTTGTTGCCCACTAGAATGCAGGCTTTGGATAGCAAGCATTGAAATGTTGCACTCGTAAATTACAGGAATTGGAGATACCTGTTTTCCAGATAAATCCTTAAATTCTCAAAAAGTTACAGCAATTAGTCAGCATTTCTAATTGCATGCTTATGGCATAGTAGAGAATTTCAAAGAGAAGAAAAAATATGCAAGCTCTCTGGAAAACTAAAAGCTTGCAGCTTAAAATAATTATAAGCTATCTTATTTAAAAAAAAAAAAAACAGTCACAACTGAGAATTTACAAATTACTCACTGAATGCTTTGAACAGTTAAGGTTTTGTTCCTTTCTATGATGCTAACAAAATTCTTTTGCTTTTCATCTCTATGATGCTTAAAAGAGATTGTAGTGTTGAGGCACATGGAATATCTTAGATTTAAATGCAGTTGTTATTTTTACTTTTAAAAAATACATAGAAAAGCTGTCTGGATTTGTTATGGATAGAACTGAAAGAGTAATTTACTAGTTGTAATCTCAGATATTGAGCAATAAATGTTTCACTGAATTTAGTGTCCTATCAAATATATGTTGAAATGTCAAAAACAAGTAACTTTTTTTATGACCTTAATGGGGAGGAAATTAATATTTTGTATATATCGTGTTATCAGTGGTTATATCATCTAGTGTACCATATATAACTGCTTCCTTAGTGTAGCAGTAGTTTCGTTTACACTTGTATTTACTACTCCATGTCTTTTTCTTTGCCATGTTTTCCTTACCAACCAGCCTGCCTACTACTTCATGAAAGCATGTTAGGTCTGGTATCTTTGGAAACAATAACCCTCACTCCTCTTTTGCACTTAAGCTGCTGCATTCTGTGCAAAAGGAGAGCGATAGTACAAGATAGTTTCAGCTTGCTTTATTGTGGTCACTTCCATATAAAATACAGGTACATTTAATATCTGTAAAGTATACTTCAGCAAGGTCTCGGTGGAGGGAGGACAGTGTTTGAGTAGACTACATTTGTGACAGCTGAAACAAGACCATTCAGCACTTTGTAAAGTGTTTCTTGAATTACTGAAAACTAGACTTTTTTCTTGGAAAAAAGGAGGTTTTGAGCTTCCGTGCCACCAGCTGAGGCTGTGACTTCTTATACCACAGCTGAGTTAGGCTAATTGCACATATCAGAAGTGTGATCTGCCCTGCCCTGCCCTGCCCTGTGAAGGTGCTAATCAAGCCAAGCTAAGCTGTGACTCCTCAGGGAGCAGACAGTGCTGAGGATTTCCTCCTAAACCTCCTCCAGAGCACTACTTCTCTCCAACAACCTTAGCTCTATAACGCTGTAGGATGATCCTCAAGAGCTCTCAAGGAAAACCCAAGCCTGCTGTGTAGCTACTGTTTCAATCTTGGCAGCAGCAGATTTTTCTTTTTTTAGCTATCCAGAGTAACTAAAGCTAAAGGTTGAAATCTTTTTGAAGGTCTTTTCCACTTCTTAGTGCTGCTGTTTGTAAATTTCAGCAGCTGAGTCACACTTAAGCACCAGTCCTCAGGGCATTAATTCTCATCAGACTTTTTTTGTTTAAAACTAGCACGTTCAAGTGTTTTACAACTGTCAACAAACCATGTAACGTATAAAATGAAAGTGGTGTACAAAAAAATAACTACAACAAGCTCATGAAATACTTTTTATTTTAGTAAGGATAGAAGCCAAAGCTTACCCAGGGAAGAGTTACTACTTCGTAAGAACATATCACAATTCCCCTCAGGCTAGGTGCAGTACATGTCTGTACAGTCTCTCCAAGATTCTGCATTTGGAAACTTCAAGATGCCAGCGGTGTCAAACTTCAGGCAATTATCTCTTTAATGTTTACAGAGGATCTTCAAGTTGTTGTAAGGCATGTGTTAAGTATTTTATAAAAATGAACCAAATATCTGAAGAATGTCCCAAAGGAGACCAGCCCACCTTAGACTGGAGTATTCTTGTCATATGCTTCATAGGCAAATTCTTCTGTATGAGCTCTGTCATTTAACAGGCCAATAAAATCTATCTCCAGCTGGAACGGACCATCTATTTTATCTCCGATTGTGAATCCAAGGGTACTAATCTAATTAAGAGATACATACAGTAGAACAGTGTTTATAATGTTACAATCAAACCCAATTGTACCTCCCACTCCATATTTTACAAACAATTCATGGCTATCTACTTTGAACTGGTATTTGCTCAAAATACAGAGCAGTTGTGTGTTCCTCATACTGCCTTTTCAAAAGAAATGTCAGAGAAAACCTATAGAAAACTTGCCTTGTCTAGCCAGATAGGATGCTGACTATCCTGGACTCTTCCCCGACTGGAGAGAAAGAATTTGGAGAATGGAATCTGACATAAATAAAACAAACCAAGAGTTTAGTGTCACCAGTATATAAAATAGAAACTTAAGGAAATAAAAAAGCCCGTTTTAGGAAAAAAAAACAAACAACAAAACACTGCTACATCTGGTACCAGCATTAGTTGGGTAGATAAAACTGGCACAAAGAAATGTGCCAACATTAACTTTTTCAAACGGCCACTTGCAGCCAGTGCCAGGCCATCCTGTTCTGCAGTGGCTGTAGCCATGATGCAGGGCATTACACAACGAGGGGCTGCAACACAAAAAGTGGCTGTTTACATCGAGAATATCTTCTTCCAATAACATGTCAACATAAACCCGATGTTATTGAAAAGTCTGATGTGCACATTGGCAGCTCATGTGTACCCAGGCTGTGGATTTCACAGTGCAAACTTTGTACTGAGACATCAGTACTTCAGCAAAGCAATTCGGAATAATGAAAAATGACTTTGAATGCAGTGGGAGCAAGAAAGAGGAGGGCTGGCTGCTGAGGGTGAGAGGAAAACAACCCAGCCAGCAATGACACAATGGCTTCCATCCTCGTGACTCCTCATCTGTGAAACAGCAGGCTGTTCCCATATGACTGGACAATGGTATTAGAAAGCACTCAATGCCAATTCATAAGGATGTGCAAACCTTATCATTGTCATCAGCCAATTATGAAAGGTCCCCAGGTTGCACCAGAAAAGAGCTGCAACTCATATTTTTTAAAAATATTATTTTGCGTCACATATTCAAGGGTCACAAATGACAAACCACGCCTCTGAGTCTCTGATTGACTCCTGCAAGGCTGTGGATTAAGCAAATTCTGTCACAGGAAACAAATCCTATGCCAGCCTGTGCCCATTTGTATTACAGATAAAAGGGTTATCACAGAGAATATTCATGGCAATACCTGCTAAGCTTCAATTGCTAGATCTATCCTAATACTCCAGTAATAGCCAACAGCAGGCATTTAAGCGAACACATAGTGGATGAAATCTTTAATACAATTGACACAGCGGGCCCTCCCACAATCCAGTTTTGGGAACTTCCAAGCCAAAGGCACATGTCTGTTTTATAACAAACATTGAATGGACAGAAATAATGCAACAGAAAGAAACTGTGACTGTTGAAAGAATTCTCCTTCCACAGTGTTTTGGCCAGGACCCCAAGACAGTCTCATTAATTTGAAAGACTCATTAGTTTACCTTTATTTCCTCCCAGTATGGGCCTCCGCGGGTGAACATAAAGTAGTTATAGAGATCATCCTTCTGATGAGAGAAGTAAGGGTCTGTATAAATGTTTACCATCCAAGGTCTGCCATCACCACGGACACGTAAATACAGACTGTTGAAGTTTGACCAGTCATAATACTTCTTCCTTCTAAAAGATCCCTACAAATTATTAATAAATGGAATTATTTCTCCTTATTAAGGGAAACTTCTATTATGAAGAATAGAACACTGTTGCTTTGATCACTGCCCTCATTATTATGAAAACTTTGGATGATTCTTTCATCACACTGGCTGCTGAGCTCACTTGACTTCCTTCAAATTGCAATATTACCACCCTGAGGACTAACGCTTTCATTATAAGCCACAATCTTTTAAGTGACGGAAATCAGATCTTTCTAGGACTGAATTCCCCACCAGGCAAGTATACAAATGCTATAGTGATGGATCAGTAGTTATGTAGTTCATTAAGTTTAATGTAGTTCATTAAGCTTAATATTCTGTGGTCAGTTCTAGATTATTCAGAGATGATGACAGGAAATTGAAGAAGTGGGATAATTTATTCCCTGTAATAACCTCCCAACTGAAGACTAACATAAGCACTGGGAGCATTTAATGTTTTCCAACACTTTTTTTTCATTAACTATGCATAATGATACCAACTGCAAGCATGTCTAATTCTCAACTGCATTTTTTCCAAAGATCTGCATCTTTGTTGCCATTTGCATACAGGCAGATCCAAGAGTCTTCAGAGACTTACATTGAGATCACTTAGAGCAAGGGTCAGGCTTATTCCTGACCAGAATTGCTTAAATGAAGTCAAAATTAGCAACAAAAATTCAGATGTTTCCCCTTTATTTTACACCACTACTATGGGTTACATGGGTTACGACTATCCTTCTACCAACTCATCTTGTAGATAACAGGATGACTAGATCATCAATATATTAATACAAGGCCTGTAGCTACTTGATTTTATAGTTTTGACAGTTTTCAGCCATTCTACTTATATAAATGTCTTTGTATTTATGTTTTCACCTTCCATTTTCAAACTGCCTTATAAAGATGGACTGATACACTTCACTACTTCAAAATTATGAGGTGAAAGTTTGAGTCACATCTGCACAAATCAGTAGCAGTCATGAGAATTTAATTCAGACAAGATTCCACTTGTTGTTGTTCCACTTGTCTGACCCACTGTCACCATTTTAATTGGTTTTCTTCTGTTTCTTATTTACCCACTGATTTTGCTACTGATATGTTTTTTGCTGATATGTTCTGGTCTTCAAGATTCTGGCCAAGAAATGATCTTACCTACGTAGCTGTGCTGAGACACAAACAACAGAACAAACTAAACAGTTTGGGATTTTAGACACTGAGTCAAAATGTTCCTTTGCTTTTAAAGGTGCTTAGAAATAAGGAATGAAACAAGCAGTGTCAATAATGAGCACATCCATTTCTGGTTCTATTTTGCTAAATTATGAGCTATCAAAGATCTCTGTCTCCCTTTTTCTGATGTACAGTAAGAGGGGGACCTTTAAAAATTTCCGTTCAAAGCATTCTTTTCTGTTCCTGTGAGAAAAAAGGATGAGCTTGTTCACTCTAACCAAGTTGGATGAATAGACCAAGTTAAAGCCCAGAAAACTTCTCCTTATGATACATTCAATTAACTTTAAATTTAGAGAGACATCTAATTTAATCATATCAATTCTGGATGTAAAGATTCATTTGGACTCAATGATCTTGGAGGTCCTTTCCAACCTTAATGATTCTAGGATTACAGATCCTCCATTTGCAAGGATGCTGCCAATGGGTCTCTCTATGGCACATAACCAAATGATTAAACACATATTATTCCTTTTCTAAGAAAGGAAAACGAAATCCAAGAAAAATTTTAAGTTCCTTCGAGGTCAAAGGATAGAACAGCAATGACATCCCTGAAAGAATATCTAATACTCCTGAAAGTGATCAGTTTCAACTGCAGTAAACAGCAGGCCACTTGCTTTCACTGGGATTACACAAACATGCCCTCAGATTCGGTAACAAAGCCGTGCAAACATGGAGCTGTACTTACCAGTTGCGGTTTAGCTCTCATACTACAATATCCACTGTATTTTGTCTCCCCATCACGAGGTACTTCCATATTGAGGGTTCCGTACAGCATAGCACCCTGGTTATTCCTACCCAATTTGAGGTAAACTTCACTTTTCCCTCCAATCTCTACATCAGAGGAAATAATCCATTTATTCAAATCTTCTTGGCTCCGAAACTGCCATACCACCCTCGTCTGTTCCAACAGGTACTGACTTAATGGACGGCCTTCAGGTCCTATTAAGTGATTCTGGGTTTCCTCCTTCAGTAAGCTTAGCTGAGTCTTTAAGACATCAAAGCCCTTCTTAAAGCTGAAATCAGCATTCTGCCACAATGATTTTTTCTCAGGCTCTGCTCCTGGCCTCCTGTAGCTGCTGTACAATTTTGAATGGCTGAGAAGAGGTCCAAGCAACTGGAGCAAAGTTTTGTGCCTGCAGCATCCACCACGTAAGGCAGCACCGTTCAGCCACATCATAGTCATATTGGTAAACCTGAAGAATTCACTTCCAGTAAGGCAATTAATGGGTTGGAAATTAAGTGAACAACAAAACTAGTATCCAGAGCTGTCTTACTGCAGTTACTGTAGCTGATCTTCACCTTTAATACAAAAAAGGTAAAAAAAAAAATTGCATATAGGATACTTGTAAAACAGTTTATTTTTAAAATTGATGTTAGCTAGAAATCTAAGTCATTGGAAAAAGGAATGAAAAAAAACATCAATAATTACATTTCTTCAGAGTATTTATTGACTTCCATGCCCCCCACAACGCGAAATCCCCAGGCAAATAAGAAAACTCAGGTAAAACACCTTAAATAAAACTGGTAAAAAAAACAACAAACTCCTATTCATTCTTCCACTGTAAATAAGTTTAGGTGCAACACCAGCAAAAACAATCCAAGAAGCTTTCTAAAATCTGATAAACAAAGTATTATCCCCTGCAAGAAAACCACAAATTCACAACAGGCAGACTCTGCTGCCACCAGGACCAGACTGACAGTCTCATTCGACAGTCAGACGACAAGACTTTTCAGATAAGAAGTCCTGCAGCAGCCTCATCCAGCTCCTTGCCCCCATCAATGCACCCAATTTAGGATCACGGAGACTATTGCCAAGACTGAAAAAATGAGCATGAAAGACTGCAATACAATAAGGTGTTTTTTTAGTAAAGCTTTGGAAAAATTCTGAAAATCTTCTCTTTGCTTCTCCCCGTATCACTGTCGGTAGGAGCAGGTCTGCCACATTGCTATTCTCTAATTCATAAAGATGAGCCTTAACATTCAGTGCTCTGTACAGAGGCTGTTACTTCTGACTCATAAAATTAGACACTTTTTGAATTTTGATTTTTTTTAATGCCACAGAACAAATCCAGAAATTATGTCAAATGCATTCAGTTTCTCTGAGCTTTCAAGAATGGAATATCCGGTCTCCACACATATTCACCTCACGCCACGTGCCTCCCTTAACCCACGGTAAAATCCACTATTGCTCTTCTCACACTCCAATTATGTTGTGCACTGTGGGCTAAAGCTGCAGTGAAGGAATTCACATTTCCCTCCACCACGGATTCAGTAAGATTGGAGGAAAGTTCCCGAACAGGAAAAACACTGGCTCCTCTCCTTGTTTCCCCCGAGTACCAAGGAGGAGATAAACGATGAATTTTAATACGTTTTGCTTTTGCCCGATCTTTGGCAAGTCCTCAGCAGCTCGCCGGTGCAGCGCAACCGCGACCTACCGCCCGGCAGTGCGACGACGCCTCGGCTTCAGCCGCGGCCCGACAACCGGGAGGGATCTCGCCTGCCCTCCTGATCCCGGCGGGCAGGGGTGAGGCTGGCACAGGGACACCGGCAGTCGCGGCCTGTCCCCGCAGAGGGGCCGCCTCGGCCCGTCCCGCCCTGTGACCGACAGACCCCGCTCTGCTGCCGCCGCGGCCGCCTCACCTTCCCGCCACCGCCGCGGGTCCGCCGCTCCCGGGCCCGCCGCGGAACGCGCACCGTGCCGCTCCTATTCCGCCGCCAGCGGCGGCCGCAGCCGCTGATGTGCCGCCCGCTCCGGCGGCCGCGGCGCGACCCTTGGCGCGATGCTCTGGTGCGGTGCCCTCTCTCCCTCTCTCTCTCTCTCTCTCTCTCTCTCTCTCTCTCTCTCTCTCTCTCTCTCTCTCCGCGATCTCCGGGTGCCACAGGACTGCGGGCCCCGCGCGGGCACCGCTCGCAGCTCCGCGCGGGTACAGCGGCGGCAGCCCCGCCCCGGCCCCGCCCCGCGGGCCGCGCATGCGCGGTGCCCTTTGTGTCGGGCGGGCGGGCGGCGCGGGTCAGGCCGGGCCGGGCCGTGCGAGCGCCGCCGCCGCCGCCGGGGCGGGGAGGGGGCACCGCGGCTCCGCCATGGTGAAGAAGCGGAAAGGCCGCGTCCTCATCGACTCCGACACTGAGGACAGCGGCAGCGAGGAGAACCTGGACCAGGTGCGCGGGCAGGCCCGGCCCGAACGCGGGGCCTGGGCTCGCCGGCCCGCGCGGGGCTGGGCGCCGCCATCCCCCCCTCGCTCCCGCCCGGAGCTTCCGCGCCGCTCTCGCCTTCCTCAGCCCGATGGAGCCCCACGGCCGCCGGGAGGGAGCCCGCGCCCCTCCGGCGGGTCCCCGGCCTGCCCTTGGCAGGCGGCCCGCCCTGGCGAGGGCTCCTTGCCGTGGGCCCGGTGCTCGGCGCCGGCGGGACGGAGGGGCGATGGATGCTCAGGGGTGGTCTGGCCCTGAGGAGGGCTTAGAGAGGCCCGGCTGCCGGCGATCTGAACCCGTCGGGTAGTGGAGGAAGAGGCCCAAAGGGTTGGGCAACTTTTCGATGCTGCTTCGGCAGCGGGAGAGCAGCGTGTCGGGTCCCTGCTCCCCTCCGGGCAGGCGGGCTCCCAGAGTGTTAATGCGTGTTTAATGTCCCCCCCTCAGTCCTGGTGGATGCGCTGGGGGAGCCCTTTTGATGAGAAACCACGTAGAGTTAGAAGACTATAGATGTAACAAGAAGAAGTATTTATTTATAATTTGTCATCAGGGCATCTCCCTGGGTTTTAAGGGCAATATCTGAATCGTATCAGGGCTGCAAAGGGGGGCCCCTTCCTCTTATGAGGGAGCTATTTTTAAAGACTTATTTCTTGGTGTAGCAGGTACTGGTGGTGTGATTCAAATGGTAAATAAAGACATTATAGGTGAAGTGTGTTACAACTGGTATGGCAGTGCTTGTTCCGGGGAGAAGTTTAGCTGATTAAATATGCTGAAGCCTACATTGTCTGATGTAATTTAATTGTTGGACCTTCAGGGTTTTTAATATAGAAGATGTTGCTATGTTGCAATAAAAAGCCTTCCCAAATACTCAAAAATAGTTTTACATCTTGGTGAATACTCTATTAGACAAATACACTGGAGCAGAGCATGCCCTGTTGTGGTTGATCTTGCATACCTCTAGAGCCTTTAGAGCTGCCAGCATCTCACTGCTAGCATATCAGTTTGGTAGTTTCTTTAGAACTTGAAAGCAGAAGGAGTTGAACTAGCTCTAGCATCAATCAGGCGGTCGGAGTGATGGTGGTAGGAATAACCACATGGCTCTGCATCTGTTCTGTCATTCACTGAAAGCATCCGTGTGCAGCTGTACCTGAGTAGTAGGTGCTTCCCCCTACACTCAGCTGTTTGTAGCAACTGTAATTGCAGGGATATGTGCAAAGATAAGACTAGGTAGCAGGGAAGCAATGTTTCTGTGGTGTGATTTAGGGGTGTGGGGATACTGAGTTAAATGTCAAACACTGAGATAACTCCTGTAAGTTAAATGTTTGAGTTCCCCTAGCTTCCCCTGCTGATTTAGGCTTGTTGAATCAGAGGAGTAGGAGCCTTTCTAATATAGTATCTTGGAAAACAAAAAACAAATGTAGAAAGAAAGAAGGAAAACTTCTTGGAATGAAAGTAGTACTCCACTTCAGGAGCTTCCCAAAGAGAAGCACTACTGAAGCTCCTTCAGGAGCTTCCTGATGAACTGTTAATTGTACAAATGTGCTCTGTTGATGTTGCATGGCTTCTTCTGAGAAAAGTTGGCAAAAGGCCATTATTAATGGAAAGTTTCTTTGCTGGTAAGTAGCCTAGGCCATCAGATTCTGTAGTGTTTATGTTCTTTTTTGAGGTACTAAATTATAATCCATTAGTTGTGGAGATTATCGTCCAGTTGAGAAGTTAATGCAAACCAATCTGGTATTGACTTCCCAAGACTGCAGAAGTTGGTGTGACTGCATTTCTACTTGTAGCTAAGGTTCATCAGCCCCAGAGCAATGTCTCTAAGAATAAATTATGTGTCATGGGTTACAAAGACAGTAATGCCATCTCAAAAATGTTTTTTTTGTACTACTGCTTCTGACACCTGAGCAGGTTATGAACAGCAGATGATGCGATTATTTGAGACATTTAGTTCTTTATTCTGGTGCGTGCTGCCTTTGAAAGTGCTTCCATTTGTGGAGAACAGCTCTACTTAGGTTTGCAAACTTTGAGCTTGATGCCTGCTCTGTGTCTTTCCAAAGTTTTAAGTGCATTCGGTGATGTGTAGGGACAGTGAAAAGGAATCGAACAGGCTGGCTAAATAATATCAGACATGACATTGTGGTGATGCCTAAAGTTTTTCTCCTTTAAAGTGTATAATTGCAAACATCTCTTAAGAGGAAGAAGGAGCTTTTTGGGCTAATGCTACACAGCATATTTAGGGTCGTTTTGAATTATTACTCAATCCAAATAAAACAAACCTGGACGTGACTCTGAAGTAATTTGCCTTACATTGTTTATACTAAGAAAGTAATGGTACCACTTTGTTCCCTAGTCAGTGGGAATAATCATGTTACCGGGATGTGCCCAGATATCGCAGAGAAGGTGAATATGCACCGACACGGATTGGTAAAACTAATTACGACGCTTTGAAATAAATGTGTATGTTTTTACCACAGGAGCTCTTATCACTGGCCAAACGGAAACGCAGTGACTCGGAAGAAAAGGAACCACCTGTGAGCAAACCTACAGCATCTTCAGACTCTGAGACTTCAGACAGTGATGATGAGGTGAGTTCATCACATTATCAGTGAAATTACTATGAGTTGTTTTTCTGATCATGCCTAAGCAGTGCAAGTGCATTTATCATACAGTATATTTAGCCTTCTGACTTTGTGAAATGGGACTGGCCATCCACATTTCCATCAGTGGAACCGATGGAGACCAATTAAGGCAAGAGGATGGTTTTTTTTTTCTTTTTTCTTTTTTTTTTATTTTTATTAATATGCTTTGAATTCTAACTGGATACAGAATAGTTTGTCTGTAGTAAAGATGACTGCTGGTTTAATCCCACGTTCACATGGTCTGAATGATCTGATGAGATGCCTGCTTAAAACTAGTGTTTTTCCTGTGTCATGCTTGCAGTTGAAATAGCAGTGAAGCTGCTAGAGCTGGACTCTGAATTCAGGGAGAGAGGTTCTCAGCTTTAGAAGGGTCAGGGTAGGTGGTACTATTTTACAGGTAGTAAAACTATCTTATTTAGCTACCTTGATTCTCCAAGAACTGTGTGAACTAGCTGTCTGGCCATTTGGACGTGCAACAGGGTATGTTTTGACTGACATTTTTGAAGAAAGGGGCGGGAAAGAGTTTAGCATTACGTTGTTCTGGGTGTTAGTTTCTTGTATAGTGCTGCTTATCTGCTGGATCTGGTTTTAGTGTTTGTTCTTGGTAACACATTCTTGTTAAAAGCTGGTTAAAACTCTCTGCTTTCATCTAGAAAGAAAAATTGAAATAGACTTATTCAAAGAGAAACTGACAAAGGTTATATGGATATTTGAATAAAAATTTTCTTGAAGGCATACAAATGTCTTTTGCAAGCTTTTGGCAAAGCACAGTGAGGTGATTTATTCCATCTATTCTTAAAAATTTAACAGGGAGGTGTTTGGTGTGTTTTTTTTTTTTTTTTTTTTTTTTTTTTTTTTTTTTTTTTTTTTTTTTTTTTTTTTTTTTTTTTTTTTTTTTTTTTTTTTTTTTTTTTTTTTTTTTTTTTTTGTTCTGTTTTGTTTTCTGAAAGTACAGGAAGGATTATCTATTATGGCAACTTGAAGACCAATTGGATAGGCCAATGATAAACTATTAAGCATTTGGCAGTGTAGCAGAGTTCTTCCAATAAGTGTGAAGGCTGTGAATTAATTTTCCTTCTGAGGCATTTTTGAAATAAATATTTTTGGAAGTGTATTTCAATCAGTCCTTTTCTTGAAGAGATTCTTGTATCTCTGTTCAAGACACAAAGAGAGAGAAAATTCTGAATAGACCAAATGTATTAGATTTGTTATTGGGTAACAGTCTGTCGCTGTTTGTGTTCAGCTCTGCTGGCACACAAAGTATTTATTCTAAGCTGTATGGAGATCGGCTTGCTTGGGAAGGTGGACTTGGGTGTGAAAAGCATGTGGATGATAAAGCTTTCCGTTCTGTGTTTACCTCTGAAAACTGATAGAATTTTAGCTTGTGTAATAAGGTCTCCCTTTCCACTATATGTAGCATTTGATAATGTATCTCTTCAGGAATTTGCGCATACCTTGCAGATGCAGTAGTGTCACTGTTGCACTGGTGCATTTGATACTCTTTCTAACCTCTGTATCATTTCTAATTGATACTCTGTTCTTTCTGACCTCCATGCAGCAAGAGGAAAAGATTTAGAGAAGAGGTAATTAGGACACTTGCTTCTATTTCTGTGCCTGAAATATGCATTCTGAACTACTGCTTGTCACAGCAGGGTGAGAGGCTGGGTTATAACACTTCTGCTTCTGCCAGTCATCCAGTTGTGTGCATCCCCAGGCTTGACTACGCTAGTACTGCTAAACAGCTTTGGTTTTAATAAGTGTTCTTGGTGTCGGTTTGAAGTTTGTTCAACCTTGAGGGTTGGGAGAGAGGGTCTAGAAGTTGAAATTGTATTACTGGAATTCCTGCAAGATAAAGGACCTTGAGGCAAAAGCATGGAAATTGTTGCCCTGGGCAAATGTACTAAATCATACTCGTGTGCTTCTACATGCGTTTTGCAGTGTGCATGTCCTTTGGGGGTCCTAGACAGTGCTAAATGTTCCAACAGTATGCTGCATGTAGAAGCAAGGAGCCTAAATCTCTACTTCACAGGATAATGCAGCATGCTGCATTTTTTAAAGGGAAGAAAGTTTGTGGAGCATAGAGGAGAGAAAAGCATTATGGAATTACTGAATGACAGCATGTACAGATCATGCTGCATCTATACAATAGTGCCTGAGGGATTTCGCTAGGTCTGTAGTGTTATGTTTATGTGTCTCAGTGAGAATGAACTTCTCACTCAGATGCTGGTTTCTGTCACACTTAAAGGACGTCTGAATCAAATTTCCTAGCCAAGGGACTGAAGGTGAGTTGCCGACAATAAAATAGGAAGGATGCTCTAAACTGTCTTCTGTTGGTTTTGTGGAAAATGCGTGACAGAATTGACAATGAACTGATAAATAGCAGTGACTGCAGGGCTTTGCAATAAGAAGTGCTACCTTTGCAGAGAGATATTTTAAGCTGGACACAGATATAGAAGCAGATAGTTCCTTTGTCTGTGGATCAGTGTGTGGCCGTGTCTACTCAAGAGCTCATCATCTCAAACTGGTAGCTTTCTGCATGTACCCAGTTTGGTGTTAGGCAAGTTACTATTGGGGCTACCACGCTAGAGCTGTGTGTGTCCACAACATCTTCTTGTTGCCAGTTAAAGGCATTATGTGGATGATGTTCCTCAGCTGCAGTAGGTTAATTCTGGGCTCTTGCACATTCTTTTATCTTGGCATTGTTGCTTGCAGTAAGGTAATTGTCTGTTGTGTGGTGATGCCTGGATGACTTCTGCAACAACTTCACTGACATTAGAGTTGGTTAGACAGAAAGCCACAATGCTGTAGGAACTCCTCTTTGGCTCTTTTGAAAGGTTTGTTGTTACCAATGGTGGTGTCAGACCTTACACCTTTCTACACTCATTCTAATGTCATGAAGGGTTTGGTTGTCTTTTAACACCTCTTGGGTGATGGCAGAAGATACTTCCAGGACCAGAAAAGTTATCTCATGAATGCTTGTTAGTAATCTGGAGTTTAGCGAGGAATATCTGTTTATGCCTTTATTTACAAATGTTGGCCTAGAGAAATGCCCCTATTTTGAGGAAAGGACTTGAAAGTTTGGATTTACTTACTGCATTTCAAGCTCTAGCACTCCAGCAAAGCACAGATTAGCAGAAAACTACACGTGTTCCTTCTGTTTTGGGTGAGTCTTTTGTGGGTTTGTAGAAATTACAGTGATTAATGTTGTCTTTTCCTGTGTGCTTTTGTTTCATAATATTGCTTAGTTAAACCTTCAAGAATGAGTTCTCCAGTCCTGTGAGGCCTTTGCCGTACTTTTTTTCAAGCTTAGAAAATTTGAAACAGGCTGTACTTTAATCTTCTTATACACAGCTTATAGGCTGTGTGCTTTGTAACTTTGTCTCTTCTTGGAGTCAGTTTCCTTGAGCTGTTAATGGGTGCGATGGTAAATCTTTTTTTCAAGGGAGAGAGATGCTGTTACTTCCCCTACCCCAAATAAAGTGCAAGTACAAATTTGAATAGCACAGGCTAATTGTATGAAGGCTGGCATGTCCAAAGAAGTAATTTGAACAAGCTGTTGACAAAAATAGGTATAAAATTTAGTCTTCAGGTAGCTCCTTTAAATTGCAAACTAGCATGGGGACTTGATTTATGTAGAGAGCCAGTAGAACCTCTGAAGAACAGTAGGTTGCTCTAGAAATAGACTCGTGGAGGTATTGGAATTGAATAAGTGACTTTTATTTATTTTTTTGGTTTTTTGCTGAACAAACTTTTCCTTTGTGCTTATGGAGCAGTTTTTGCTGAAAGCAATCCAGTCATAAGGCACTGTCTAATAACTAGAGAAGTTGTTAAGCCTTTGTTAGTCCAAATGATGTTGACTGGCTGGTGATGCTAAAGCTGTGCAAGGCACTTGTTGACCAAGTGTTTCATGGCTCTTGCCATCTCAAGCTGTTAGTCCAGGCTTCCTAAATAAAACATTGTACATTTTTCACATCCGATAGCATCCCAGTGTGTGTTTTGGTGATGGAGAGTGCTTCTTTATTGACATTAGGTATCTACCATCTTGATGTCTCTCAGAAGTTCTTGCCACTTTTCAATACATGGACCCTCTCAAAATACTTCTAGAGCAAATGTTAACTTGAAGCTTAAACTGAATTTGAACTTACTAGTTCGTAATTGTCTACAGTTACCTTTCAGTGAGCTCCTTAGAGCACTACTTGGACAACAAGGGTAGACCAGGAGTCTGGTGATATTTTGGCCCATGAAATCTTCTTTTGGCCAGTTCCTAGCAAAGCCTCTATTGTGGCTATAGAAGGTGTTTTCTTTATTTGCTTATTTCGTCCCCATTTTGGTAATGACACCTAGAGTCTTCTCTCTGTGTCTAAAATGGTCTAAAAAGTTTTCTAATCATTGCACTGGTGTTATCATGAAAGTGTCTGAGGTGTTCTCATGACAAGTGTCAGTCCTGAAAAGCAAGAAAAATAACAAGGGCTTTTTATTTACTAGTTAGTTTTAAAAGTAGAGGTAGAGAGCATTTTCCTCCTTATAGCTCTTGGAGTGCGCTCTGTAGAGTTTTCTTAGCTTTGAGGAACCTTGAAGACAGTAAATACTGCTTTGTTTTCATATCTGTGCTTTCTGCTCTTGTCTTCAGACAGGCTGGAACTGTAGTTTGATGACTTGCCTGGAGGACTGCCTTTTGTTCTTCCTATATGAATGGATGAAAGTTTGTAAGCTGGGCTAATGCTGTGTACCTTGGTGCACTTAAGCTGTCAGGTTTTCATGGTGTGTAAGTTTATCTGGCCTAGGAAAGGGACACATTGGTTCCTTGACCTGTTTTGCTTTCTTGTGGCTTGTACTTTGTCTTTTGCTTATAAAAGCCATATCCAGGAGGGAGGATATGGCAAGGACAGGCTGGCAACCTTGCTTGTGCATCTCTGTCTGGTTTAATGGGGGGGAAAGCTGGGAGAACACGTATTTGCAGCTTAAAATCTCAGTGGCTAATGCGTTTAGGTACTGTGTGAATAGAAGAAAATGGCAACTATCTGAGTAGTGGGGATAAAACAGTTCTGCACTCTGAGCTCACCGCAGGTGTGTGGTTTTTGTTTTTACTTTTTTTCTTTCCACGATCTCATTTCATCTCCTTAGTGGAAATAGAGCTGAGCTATAAATTATTTTCTTCAATCACTCTGTAGTTGCTTTTGTAGAAGCTGACATATAGGTCTAGGTAATTTCTGATGTGGTGGGTTGTTGGTCTTTTTTTTTTTTTTTCCCAAATCCATTCTAGGTACTGTGGCTTATCTTGGATTCCTTAGAATGACAGAAAAATTAGGTTTGACAAGGACCTCTAAGAACATCATGTCCTACTGTTTCTTGGAGGAAATATGCACATTATTAGCACTATGAGCCTTGGCAGCAAGAGGAAAATTTGAAATGCTCTTCTTTTGAATGAACTATAAAGCTCTGCAGTGCTAAACAATATCCAGAAAGCCATGCTGCAGTTCACTTCTGCATGGATTTATTAACTTGCTGTATCTGAAACCATGGCGGGTTCCAGATGGTGGCTGAGGAGGCAGCTGTGAATAGAGGGACTGTTTAGAGGAGGCATTATAGTCATGGGAAGCATGGGACAAGTGTTGACTGGTGCTGCCTGACTGGAACGTGGAAGAGCGAACGTGGAGAAGCTTCAGTAGAGGACAGATTTTTGAAAGTGGTGGTTATTTGTTGTTTGGAGTTAAGGGAAACAGCGTAAATAAGTGTTTATGACTATAACTGTGTGTGCATTTTCACTTGATGTTGCATGCAAACATGTTGTTGCCGTTTTGATTTCTGCCTGTGTGCTGGAGCACGAGGAAGAGGCTCAGGACTTTGATTTGGACTGCATATTGCCAAGCAGCCCATGGCTTTCCAGTGTTGTCTGTTCCTCCCAGACCTGCTAATCTGTTGTGTCTTCCTCTGCTGCAAGAAGAAACTTCATGTTGGCTCCTCTCTCTGAACTGTGCAGAGTTGTCATTCAGTGTCCAAATGACTGCTAGTGCTTCCTGAGTCTGCAGAGCAATTTGTGAGCCTGAAAGAGTCTTGCACTGACCGTGTCCTGGTTTTGATGACTTCTTTGTCCCTAAGATTTGCTCTGACCCTTGTCTTGTCTGGTAGTGGTTCCAGGAATGACCAGGCATTCATGAGAGATTGGGGTAACTGAATAAGCCCTGAAGCACCTGAGTTGGATGAGGAAGAATTTTTTAAGTGACACTATTTAAACTGAGAGGTGGACATAGAGGTCACTTAAGTGAGATGAAGTGTAATCTCCAAGGTGAAATAGAACCCAAAGCACAGTTCTGAGATTAGGGCAGATTTTTATTACTTTTTTTGTTGGTTTTGTTTTGGTTTTGGTGGTTTTTGTTTATTTTGTTTTGTTCAAGAGGTTGTCATACAGGTTTCTTTTCAGTCCTATCTTCCTGGTCCCAAGTTCTCTCCACGATTCTACTTGTGAATTAAAGGCTGAGAACAGTGATTTGTAACCCATGTATGTACAGCTATTAAACATTTTACTAACTGAAGTCCTGCTGTCTTTTATCTGATCTTATTTCACCTCAGCACGACCTCTCAAGGTCTTGATATAACTGTGTTGAATACTGTGGCTTTCTGTCTGCTGCTTCCTTGCTGTGCAGCATGCTGACATGAGTGTAATTCAGTGTTAGAACACTGAAAAGAAGTGGCAGAACTCTGGGAAGGAGGCACCTCTGCGTCATTGCTAAATGCTTAGTTTCACTTTCTCGATGTTGTGTTTTCACTACTATGATTGAAGTAGGTGAGCTCTTGAGCCAAGAGCAAAAATGCGCTGTTCTGTACACCCGGGAGATGATTCCTTAATGCTGAGGTTTGAGCAGATTCAAGCAAGAGTACAGGCTTGTTCTTAATTGATTTTCATGGGCGTAGTTAACCAGAAATATTGTTACACAGCAATATTGTTAACACTGAACAAATAAAACTTTAATGAGGAAGCCAGTAAAGACTTCGTTACAAGCTCAGGGTGATATAAAATCAGATGCTTTCTCTGCAGTTTCTCAGCAATCCTATAGACCATAACAGATTGGAGTACCTGCATAGAGTATGAATTGCAAGGCTTGCCACTGTATTTTTACCTCAGAGAAATAAAAAAACAGTTTCTGCATGGCCTTTGACATACTTTTGGATATACTGATGATGCTGAAAGAAAATGATGAAGCAGTTGGTAATATTGAAGGTACAAGGCTCAGTGTAAGAGCAGTCAAAACCTGGGAAATTCTAAAGGTATTAGCAAATCAGGTAGTAGCTTATAACTACTTGGTTGAGTTTCATCCAGAGTAGCTGAACACCCGGGTTCTCTGAAGAATCAGGCAGAATAATTCACCAATTTGATGGAATGATTCCTACCTGCAGAAATGGACTTGATTAATCTCCCAGGACAGGGTGGATGTGTGAGAAGCCTAAAGCTTATTGTGCACCTGAAGTCAAACCTAGAGCGGCTTTTTTTCCGCTTAAGAGTAGTTTTGAGTGCAAGATCTCAATTATGCAAAAGTGTATTTGCTCACTTGAATTAGGAATATGTTTTAATAGACTACATGCTTGGACAGATGCTGATGTGCATGAAAGATGAGAGTAATATACAGGCATGAAGAGGATTATGTCTAAATATATATATATATTTAGAAAAAAATCTGTCATATTCCTGAGAGTCTCATGCCTGAAGAGTTTCTAGGAGAGGCAATGAAATGCAAAATATTGTAAAGCCTTAAATTAATACACGGGCAACCCCTATTGGTTTTATTCTCTTCTGGCTTTACCCGGGTAGTTGGAACAATGCAAAAATTCTATTAAGAAATCACACTGTAAGGTAAATACGAGTTTTTCTGGGACTTTGAATTTAAAATGGCTTTTTGTATGTGTAGTAATATAAGTCCTGTATTTAGAATCTGCAGTCTAAGTTAAATGATGGTATGATACTAAGAAAAAAGTTAAAATTAGGACTTGACTTTTTTTTTTTCTGCTCTGACTACTTTGATTCTGATTCAATTCCACCTTGTGTACGTAGATAGTAGTACCACCACCTGCAGCTGTGAGTGAGTGCACTTTTGGCTTCTTACAAAGAAATGCAGTATGTAATTTTGATAAAACTGAATTTTTGGAAAGGCTATTGTGTAATTCATGTGCTTCATGAAACGTAAAATCTGCTTTTGGTTAAACTAGTTCTGGAAACACATCTGTTGCTTCTGTGTAATAGTAAACTGAAGCTAATCTTTACAAATGCAGTTGGATATGTTGTTTAAAATTATTTTCCTGGGAAAATGTTTTCAGTACCTCCTCTCTTGGTGTATATTGTAGACTTTAAATCCTTCATTATTATTTCCTGCTCACTGTTGACTTGCATTGTTAACTGATTTGTGCTTTTTTTTTCCCAAGAAAAATCCCGAATCGACCACACAACACCCCACCCCCAAAAAACCTTGTAAAAGGCTTTCATTTGATAAGTTTCCTATTGGCTTCTCTTTTTTCCCCTCTTTCCTCTTGTTTGATTTTTTGCTGTCAGGTATCAGACTGTTTCTCAGCCGTTTTTACTCCAGTGTTTTGGAGAAGGGAGAAGAGAGTGGTATTTGTGTCTCATGATCCCTTTCTTGGTTCTTTCCTTGCAGTGGACTGTTGGAGGTTCTAAAAACAAAAAAAAGGGAAAAGCGGGTAAGGCAGAGAAGAAAGGAGCCATGAAGAAGCAGATGAACAAAGCTGCCTCTTCAGGCAGCTCAGATAAAGACAGCTCGGCTGAGAGCTCGGCACCTGAAGAGGGTAAGATAACACATGTGCATCTACTTACTGTGTGATTCCAAGGGAAGTTACCCTTTGTGCACACTGAAGAGTAATGTTAAATGGGGATGTTAAAGACTGTCTTGAAAGACTTTTCACTGTTACTGGTAGTCAAGATAACTTTAACTTGCCATGGCTTGAAGTGCGTGTAATTCAGTACAGCATTGCTGTGAGCACTTCATTACAACTGCAACACCAAGTACTGTTTCAACTGAAGAATGTATGACATATTTCAATACTTGACTTTCTCTTGGAAAATTCTTTGCTTCCTTCTAGCATGTCCCATCTTTAGTGTGGGTAGCATTTTTTATTCCCATTGACATATTTTCCCTTTCCAAACATCTTATGAGAGCAAAGGCAGATGTGTGTAGTATTTGTGATGCAAATTGGAGCTTGTCTTGCATTCATTTACTCTGCATTGGAATTCTTGCATGTTTATACTGCCATAGAAGGGGGCAGATCATTCTATAACTTTGTCAAATTTTTTTTTATTTTATTATTATTGAATCCATATTTCAGTGCTAGGCAACCTTCCTTCCTGTCTTTTCTGTTTTCATCATGCCCATGAAGGTTTGCAGGTGCTTAGTTGGAATTTCAATTCATACTAAAAATGAAAATTAAGTAAGAGTATAAAGGAGCCTACAGTTTTAAGTATATCAAGCACAGCACAGACAAAAGCATGAAGTAATTGAACCTGTATATATCAATGCTTACAAATCAAGGTTTTTCACAGTGTGAGCTTGCAAAGCTGGAGATTTCCAGAAATACTAATACCAGAATGAAAGTGAAAGAACGAATCCTAATGTCTGCTTTTGCAATTTAGTGTAATTTAGTTGATTAGACGAGATAATCAAAGTGCTTGGACTTGGATCAAGTTTAAAGGTGGTGTTACCCAATGCTGGGTCAGTTAATCCCTAAGCCCACGTGTAACTGGGAGGGCTTGTTACAAGTAAGGGAGCTAGTCTTGCCAGCCTTGAGGGTATTGTGTTTCAACTTTATCTCTTGATGTAGTAATTCATAGTGTTACAGTCCTCAAATGATGAATTTTGGTCCATCATGTTGCTATATTGGTGGTAGCTACTGTGGTATTTGAGGTGCGTGCACACAAACTTATGGCTGTATAAGCAACTTCTCTGGAGCATAAGCATCTAGACATATGCATTAAGACCCTGACACATTAACCAAAAGGCCTCCTAAAATTTGCTTGTTCTACTAAGAATTTTTACTTATAATCCAATTTGTCTTCAAATGTAGTACCGCTCATTTTATCATTTATTAGCATGCATATTTTATGGTAACTTCCACCTGGGTTTAATTTTCATTATATGTATGCTTTTAGTATAGTGGAAGATGAGTGTAAAATTCAGTCTTGCTATTCTTTGCTAATATGCTATAATGAAGTGGTTGGGCTTTGCTCCAGCTGAATCTCACTACCTTATATTTTTGAATTAGGAGAAGTCTCTGACTCAGAAAGCAACAGCTCCTCATCTAGCTCAGATTCAGATTCTTCATCTGAAGATGAGGAGTTCCATGATGGCTATGGAGAAGACCTGATGGGAGATGAAGAAGACCGGGCTCGACTGGAACAAATGACAGAAAAGGAGAGAGAGCAGGAACTGTTTAACCGGATAGAGAAGAGAGAAGTGCTAAAGAGAAGGTGAATATGATATTTGTTGATACTTGATAACAAATTCTTACAGACTATATGGAGAGTATGGTGACTGTGCTCTCATGTTTAAGGTCCAAGGGTTAAACTCTATAAAGTGAATTAAGCTTCACTGTATGTTTTTTTGCATGAACTGTCCTTATAGCTGGTTGAGAATCGCACAGCGAGAATTCTGCATGTTCTTGTAAGAGTTTTCTGAAAGTTCCTCAGCTGAATAAATGTGGTTCTGTCAGCTACGCTTGTAGCTATGTTACTGCTTCACAGATTAGATGCCAGACAGTCAGAAAGCCTTATTTCTCTTCTGTCTTCTTTTGTATTTGCTGTCATATGCTGATACTTTGGAAAAAGGTAAACAAAGTGTAAGGTATACATGAGTTTCTGGAATTTTTCAGAAAACAGTGGTGAAGAACAGAGCAGTGTTAGGGTTGCCTGTATATTGGTGTGAAACTGGTTTGGCTGCTGATAGAAGAGAGAGAGATTGAAATAATGAGGACTGGCGTCGGATATGTCATTTTCGTGGGATTATTGTGGATTTCTTACCTTATGTGTTGTGGTTTGGTTTTGTCTGTTACTGTAACACTACACAGTCAGGCAGCTTCTTTATAGTAAAGGTATTTTTCTTCCCATTTGTCCAGTTGAAAAGATTTGGCACGTATGGGGCAAGTTTTCTCCAGTTTCTTTCCTCTTTAGTGCCTTCTCTTTTCTTAGTTGCTGAGAAATTTCCCTAGAGGACTGACATCTGTTAAGTAAATCATATTGATACAAGTGTCTGTCAGACTGTCTATTTGGTAGAGCACTGTGCCTACCTGACTATGGTTTTAATGCTACGTTCAGGATCTTATGTGGTCTTTTGCTCTCCTCAAAGGGATCAGAATGATTGAAAGTTTGCATTTAGATCACACAGAAGGACATACTATTTTTAAATTTTATTCAACATTCCACAGTAACTGTCTGTCTTTTAAAATGAGTGCTGTGGAATAGTTTATACAAACAAGCTAAGCAATCTAAGCTTGAGTTACTGATTTAATCTTAAATTAATTTGTGCTGTTGAGTGTAAAGGTTTGGCAGGTAGAACAAAGGGAGTGGCGGGGTAGTCATTTAACTTCATGGACAGTTCAATCTTTCAAAAGCTTTCTGTATGTGCATTATGCTGTGAGTTCTTCGGAATTACAGCAGGTATTGCATGGGATACAATGCCTGTGCCTTAAGTGTTACGCTTTGTGTTAAAAGCATAAAGGGCAATGAGCTCATCTGGCACTTCAGTTTGTTGTTTGCAAAATCCAGAAGAGTGAACTGTGTAATGTACATGTGGATAACACATTTTGAATTTCAGTTATTGGAAGTTAAGTAATTTTTGTTTGTCCATATGCACTCTTCACTAAAGCAATGACCAGTCCACAGTGCAGTGGAATCTGTCATGGGATTGTTCCATCAAAATCACTACTCTTGTGAATACAGTGGCTGAAAAGAAAACATCAGAGTGATATATGTCATGAAAGTAGAAATTTAGGCATGGGAGTGCCTAAATTCTTCTGCAGAAACTGCCAGAGTCTGATGAGAATCTTCTGATGCTGAAGGAGGACTCACTGAGACTTATTGCGGTCAGTCTTACACAGACCAGTGCCAGTAGAAATGTGAAGTTCAAGCATGAAAAAGTTAGCATGATAGTGGCTTTAAACAAAAAAAGGCTTTAGCTGCTCAGTTTCAAATGATGTGAAATAGCCAGCTGATTTTAGAGTTGGAGGCAGCGTGCAATGATCACTACACTAGCAAAGAGGAGGATGGAGTAAGGGCAGATTTCTGTGGAATAGTCATTACTATGTGCTCTCATCTGCCCTTTAGGTTAGTTCTCTGTAAGTCTGCACTTTTCTATGCTTGGCTTTTTTTCACTTTATTTTCTTGGGAAGGAAAGGGAAGAGATGGGAATAGGGGACAGGATAGCATTAAAGAAGCAAGCAGTTGAAGTTTTCCTTGCAGCCTACTAACAACTGTGACAGCATCTGAGCAGTCCTTTTCTCTCTCAGGGAGAGCATTCTTTCATAAGTTCTTTTTGTTTCAATATCTGCTACTAGATTTGAAATCAAGAAAAAACTAAAAACAGCAAAAAAGAAAGAAAAGAAAGAGAAAAAGAAAAAACAAGAGGAAGAGCAGGAGAAGAAAAAACTCACACAGATCCAGGAATCCCAGGTAGGAAATGAAACTGTTCTTAGTGACAAATCCTTCTCCCGTGGCAATAGGAGGTAGGATGCTGCCTCTCTCTGCCCCTGATGTTTCTCTTAGTGTCAAAAAGTGTAGTAAGCAGGTCAGAACTTATATCAGAGTTTGTATGCTCAAACTATCCTTAGTATTTCCAGTTCATTTAAAGAAATTTACATCTTTGGCCTGCTGAGGGCTGCACTGATAATTCCTTATAATGAAAAATGCGAAGTTGCAGCTATATCTAGTGTCACTGTGATAGTCTTCCCACATGAGGACTGTAAAGCAACCTTTTACAGTTACTTTAGTCAAACTTCTGTCATTCAGATGAAACATTACATACACTCCCTCTCTTGCAAAATGAAAGTTTGAGAGAGCAGACCAGAAACTGCTCAACTGTTGTCTTAATTATTTTGCATGCGCATAGAGTGTTAAAAATGCTTAGTTTCTACTAGTGGGGATCTTAAGGAAAAGCTTGAATGCCAGGAGGGGTAGAAGTAGTTCTATAGTTTTTCCAACACCAGTAGAAAGAGGATAACAGCAGTTTTTGGGGCAAGGCCTCTGTAACTGAACTGTAGTTTCAAATGGCTGAAGTGGCTGTAGTTGCAAATGGTGAAGATCCTGTCATTAATACAAAGTCTGGGCAGACAGGCTCCCAGAGTGGGATGGAATTCATTTTCCCTAACTTGAGCCATTGAAGAAACAGTTGCTTGTTTGCACTTGTCACAGCTAACTTCATGCAGCAGAGCAGGGCATCTTAAGAGCTGACATCTTTTTTTCTAGTGAAACAGATGTTTAACATCTAAATCAAATTAGGTGAGATGAATATTCCTGTAGGCACATATTGAGTGGAGTGAGTCTCATCTTCCTACTCCCCCAACTCCATATACATACGTGTGTGTACACTTAAATAGTCCATCTATATAGGCCATCCTGTAATCTTAAGTACTTCTATAATACAGTGTAGATGCATATACATATATGCATGTGTAAAAAGATGTTATTTAGAGTTCTTTTACAGTGCCTTGCAGAAATTACTTCACCTTAGCTCAGATGACTGTCTTTAATGCTTATTATAGAGGCTACTTTCTGTGCTACCTGGTATTCCAGATACATCTGGATAGAAATGGAAAATACTGAGAGACTTAAAAGATTTAAGATTTGGATTCATATTGCAGACTTTATAGGCAACTTTATTTCTGCTCTAAGTATTTTTAACATAAATTTTTGCTTTGCTGCTGAGTGAGAACAAGTGCTTTGATTTGGCCTTGCAGAAGGAGAAGCAAATGAGAAGAATATTCATCCAGTTTTTTCTCATTATATGTTATTTACAGAATTATTTCCATTTTATTTCTCTAGTCCTTTTTTAACTTTAAGGAGGAGTTTTGAGACTGAAACTTGCTGGCAGAAATGTTGAAGTATAAATTTGTTCATTGTTTTTGATATGAAGCAGAATAAAGAAATATACTTCAGATTGATTTCCCTACTACCAACCTCTGTAAAAAATTAAATGACAAAAACATTTAAAAAGAGGAGTTGTTTGAAAATTTTTCTAATAGAAATTACTAAGTGTGCAAATAATCTTTGCTTTAATGCTTTTCAGTTTATGGATTTATGGTATTGAGGCACTTGCATGTTTTTAGGTCATGTCTCATAACAAAGAGCGGCGATCAAAGCGGGATGAGAAGCTAGACAAGAAATCTCAGGCAATGGAGGAGCTAAAAGCAGAAAGAGAGAAAAGGAAGAACAGAACAGGTATGAAAGCATGTTACTATTGCTGTAGTTTTCTGAAAGTGCTACTTAGAGTTTCAAATCAATGCAACAGTCCCACACCATGGAGTAAATGAATTCTGTGTCTGTTTTCCTTGGTCTTTTGCCCAACATGATCACGTAGGGTGTTGTTTGGCACCACTGATACTGTATTCCTGACCCCAGTCCCTCCCTGGAATGGTCTAAAAACAGAGTGAACTTTCATCACAGTCCACTGAATGGCTCTTAGTAATGTTTAGTTAACATATTTAAATTGGTCACTTAGATTCAGTTATTTAATCTCTGAAAAATCCAAACTGTATTTATTGTACTTTTACTACCTTGTCTACATTTGCTTGTTTCTTCACTGGCACATCATCTTGTCCGTCTTGCCACTGACTTTTGATGCAACCCTTTTTGTTACTCTGCTGGATTTTATTGTGATCTTCTCCAAATATTTTTTCTTTTTTTCCTTACAAAATAACAATGAATTGTCTGATCATAGTATTTTTATCTTGTATATCCAGTTGTTACACCCATTTTGAATTACTATGTGCAGTCAAGTTGGGAGACTGAAAATAAGTATAACTGAGATTTAAGATGCTTTTAAATACTTTGTATATATTCAAAGAGAGAAATCAATGCTTAGCTTAGCAGTGGATTTGAACCCATGCCACTTGTATCCAGCACAAAATTAATAGCTATCTGCCTCTTGGATGTTTTTAACCACCTTTCATCTTATAAAGGAACCTTTCATGAAAGATTTACAGCTTACTTTTCTTTTCTTTTCACTGTCCTTCCCCCAGCTGAATTGCTTGCAAAAAAACAGCCATTAAAAACTAGTGAAGTATACTCTGATGATGAAGAAGAGGAGGAGGATGATAAGTCTAGTGAGAAAAGTGATCGTTCATCCAGATCGTCATCTTCTGATGAAGAGGAAGAGTAAGTAGTAAACTAGTGCTGGACTAGGATTACTTGTGTATTCCAAAACAGGGACCCACTTTAGGCAGACACACACTGTGTTAGAGGGTTGTTTGGGGCAGTTCAGTGTCTCTAGTGTTTTTGCCTCTAGGCACGATTGCATTGCGCCGATTTGAGTCCTTGTCACTATATCGTGTTTCATGGGACTCATTTACCTTGGATGAGTTTGCAACTTCCGTTCCCTTCTGTTACCTTTAGCCCAGATTACCCTGCTGTTTACAGATTTGTTTAGTTGTACAGTTTAGCAGCTGCAGAACCCTGGTATGCATTGGGGCAGAGATGTGTGCTGGCTTATCTTAAAGCATTGGTCTGTAAACTGCCTTGATGTGTATCTTCCTGCTTTGTGGTAGCAGGGGCAGTAGGTAACAAGTCTGGGACTTCACATTAAACCTTTATCGTGAATGCTAAATTCACACCCCTACAGTCAACTAGTGATGATGAATCATTCCTTTTACTAGTAACTTAAATAGCACTCACCCTGCACCTTACTCATAACCCCTCTTTTGGTGATTATGTCTCTACTTTTTTCTTTATTCACTCTCACCTTTCCCAAATCAGGAAAGAAGAAATTCCTCCTAAGTCCCAGCCGGTGTCCTTGCCTGAAGAACTGAACCGAGTACGATTATCGCGACACAAGCTGGAACGCTGGTGTCACATGCCCTTCTTTGCCAAGACAGTCACTGGCTGCTTTGTCCGTATTGGCATTGGCAATCACAACAGTAAACCTGTTTATCGGGTGAGTTTAGCTCTGAGGCATTTAGTTCTTTTTTTAGTGCTGTAATACAATACTTGCAGCTAATCAGTTCTCAAGTACCTGTGATTGTTTGATTGACTGATATAAAAAGATTGCTTATAACTAGGAAATGCAATTGCTGCCAAAGAAGTGGAGGAGACTGGTGTAAGAATAAATAGATGGATGGGACCAGCTAGGGGAAGAGATGCATTTGGTGAGAGAGAGGGAGCACTAACAAAGCCTGTTCTCCTAACTTTGGTTCATGTTGTCTTGTCTCATCATTTGTATTGCAAACTAGAGTTCCGGACTCTGCTCAAACCAAGTCAGGATGAGTAACATTCACTCCTCATTTCTGGGACTGTTCCCTAGTTATTGTGTGGTCTTGATTCGTTTTTTTACAAAGTGTTTCTAGTACATCAGTTTGCCTTCAGGAGAGAAGGTGATTGAGAACATGGTTTTGTTTTTCTGTTTCATTACTATAAGCATAGAGTGCAATAATATTCTCTAAAATTGCATTAAAAAGGCCCCCAGAAGGGCTGTGTTTAGTCTGTGAGCAGCATTGGTGTATTTCATTTGGGACATGCATTAACCTAAACCAACCTTAGGTGAAAAGGAAGTAGGAAAAGCAGGAGAGTGTACACTATTTGGTCAGGAAGACAGGGCTGAGGAGAAGAAAAACTGCATCAGGCACTCAGATGATATAATTTTTTAACTGAAAGGTAATGTATGAAGCAACTAATTCAGTACCTGATAACGCACACTGAAGAGTCTTGCTTCTTTGATCTGGTTAAAATTGTCAGTTAGATTAAGGTTTTTATCTCTAATAGAAAGGCTTGAATATGCCAGATATATTCTAGGAACACCAAATAAAAACCCTCTTGCCTTCTTTCTCTTATGTATTTTACTCTGATTTAGGTTGCTGAAATAACTGGTGTGGTAGAGACTGCAAAGGTTTACCAGCTTGGTGGCACACGGACAAACAAAGGACTGCAGTTGCGGTAAGATACTAAAGTAATCCTCTTTAGTTCATGAATCAGTGTCCTTTTCATAGCAAATAATGTTCTGTGTGTAGTTTGGAGGTGAGAACTAAGAAGCAGACTGCGCCCTGTCATGCTACTTACTGCTGGAATGTTGGGTTTGGGTTTATTTGTGACTTTTTTTCTCCTTATGCATAATGGAAATTATGTTAAAAAAGATAAGTCTCATGCAGGGGGTTGTGAGTGTATTGACATCTGGTTTTCTAGTTTGGGGATACTTTAATCAGTTTACATCTACAGATCCAAGATCACCACTTTCCACTGTCAGAAAGGGATGTTTTCACACTTTCTTGTTGCAGGCATGGCAGTGATTCACGTGTGTTTCGTTTGGAGTTTGTCTCAAATCAGGAATTTACTGAAAGTGAATTTATGAAGTGGAAGGAAGCAGTAAGTTTACCAGACTTTAGTTTCTTTTTAGAAGCCTTCTGCCAAGCATACTTTAAATGGAAAGTAACTTGGTCTCTTGTGTTTAGATGTTCTCTGCTGGGATGCAGCTACCCACGCTAGATGAGATAAACAAGAAGGAAATGTCCATCAAAGAAGCCCTCAACTACAAGTTTAATGATCAGGACATTGAAGAGGTAAACAGTGCATTGTAGTTAGGCTGTGTCAGTGCTTAAAAGTGGCAGGAGCTCATGAAGTAGAGCACTAGCTGGTACAAAGCAAAAGGATCATGGTATTTGCTTTCTAATAAGGAAATAAAAGGCTCAAAATGAAGTTTCATAACTAGATAGAGTAGCTCGGTGATCCCACTGTTGTTTGGTGCTCACTCCTGGGTTTTTCATCCTTTGTGCCCTTTTACCTCCTCTTGAACTTTTGTTGTGAATCTCTGAACTCCTAACTCAAGTATGGCAACTTAGTTCTCAAGTTCTGAAAAGTTAATAGCATCATGATATTTGCATTTATCACAGCTTCTGCAGTTTAATACTTGCTTAATACTGACCAAAGATGATTAGTATCAGATTTTTGTAGGTCATAAGTGAGAAGAATGGACCTACAACTCATTACCAAAGACACAAATTAAAAAAAAAAAAAAAAAAATCAGAGAAAGAGCATAAGTAAAATTCTGTGGCAGTAATACATTTCTTAGGTGATACTGATCTGTTTCTTCTAATGTTCAAGTATTGAAATAATGATTTCATATTTGCATATTTGTGCTATTTCTTCTACTTCTTACAGATTGTGAAGGAGAAAGAAAGGTTCAGAAAAGCACCTCCAAATTATGCCATGAAGAAAACTCAGCTATTAAAGGAGAAGGTGAGAGATGAGATGATGCCTGCAAGCTTAATACACTCTTTGATTTTGAAGAACTGGAGCTCATCTGGATTTTGGCAGTAGTCAGCAGTAAGCTCAGCTTTAACTATGCAGCTAAAAGGTGGATCTCAAGGTTCATTGCTGGGTTCAGAACAATCAGAACCCAGTTAGAGCTATTGCATTCTTTTTTTAAGAGTAATTGCTAACAATTATAGCTGTCTCTTTTTGTGTCCTTTAAACAAGGTCTTAAGCTCTTCTTCCTCAGAAACTTTTCCTATTTTCTTTGGTGGTTTTTTCTCTTTTTTGTTTGGTTTTTTTTTTTTTTTTAGAGTACCCCATAATAACATTGATTTCCTGTGCTTATTTTAAAATAGGAAAAATAAGGTTGTGTTACAATTTTTTTTTCCCAGGAGTAACTGAATTGTCACTTTATGGCCAGTAATTTGTATTAAAAAAAAAAAAAAAGTGGCTGAAGGACGTACTTACCACTGAACTGTTTTACATGTAGTCCTCCTGGAACAAATACACACTAGAGCTCTGAGATGCCAAAGCCAAGAAGTGAAGAAACCAAGCAGTCTTAAATATCTCTGAAGATAGACATGTTTTGTTTTTATTCATGCAGTCCTTTTTCAAGATATTCATGCTTTATATACAGGAAAAACAAAGAGTTTGTATTAATCTACATTCCTTGGCTTAATTGTATTATTTGGTCGCTGTATTACTATGCACAAATACGTAAATAATTGGTTTCCCATCGCAGGAGAGTGCAATTGCTTTTTGTTGTCACCAGGTGGCATAATAAGCTCATGTTGTGTTAGGGCACTCTCCAGCTCCCTGAAATAAGTGGCAACTGACAGTTGCTGAAATAATTATTTTCCTGAGCTGGTAAATAGTGATGTTAAATTTTAATGAAACCCGTAACTTAAATCATGGAACTGACTTACCCTCCTCATTCTGGGACTAATGGTCCTATGTTTTCCTTAGTTTAAGGGATTTCAGAGGTTTTCAGAGTTCTTCAGAATAAGAAGTCCAGTTTTGCCTTGAGATGCAAGGAGAGTGTAGCTCTTTGTTGTATTTTTACAATGCAGAGAAGAACATTTGCAACTGGCATAGGGTTAGCTGTCTGATTCACAGGTACATCCCTTGTTTCACTGACTAATTCTGTGGTAGAGAGTACTGCTTAACAAGTCACTGTTTGGTTGAAGGCTATGGCCGAGGACTTGGGAGACCAAGATAAGGCCAAGCAGATTCAAGATCAGCTTAATGAACTTGAAGAGAGAGCAGAGGCACTGGATCGTCAACGAACAAAAAATATTTCTGCAATCAGGTAAGAGGCAGATACTGGAAATTTTCTTTCTTAAATAGTATCAATCAAAATATTTAGAAAAGAGAAACAAATGCAGAAGCAAATTAACTGCAGGATTTTGTCACTTCTTTCTGGTACAATGTATTAATGAAATGTGTATTGTGATAGCTCTGTTAGTGCTTGTCTGTCTTCACTTTCTCGAATCTGTCATTCAGTTATAACTGTTGAAAATGTAAACTCCCTTCAGCATACCCCTGGTAGCGGTTGTGTTGCAATAAGAATAATTTGTGATCAGGATGAAGCTGTAAGAATGCTTTCGTTGCATTGTTGTGCTTTGTTGTGTAGGGACTGATAAATGACAGTCACTTTGTTTTTCTTTCCCTCGCCCTCCTTTTTTTCCGTTCTGCAGTTACATCAACCAGAGAAACAGGGAGTGGAATATCGTTGAGTCTGAGAAGGCTCTTGTGGTAAATAGCGCTGAAGTAATACTTTTGTGCAAGTAGAGATGAAATGATGCGAACAGGGATAATTGCATGGTGAAGTTACTAATTTTTTTTCTAACGTTCTGTAAAATTTTTCATATAGGCAAATGACATGATTTTAAAGCACATTGCTTTATCCTTTTGTTCACATCAATTATTAGCAGATTAGTGACTGTCATAGTGACTTGATGCATTTTGTATGGGAAAGAACTCAGAAAGGAAACTTCATAGAATAAAACAGTGAAGGAGATACTAAGTTCTCTGCAGTGACACTTTTATTAAAGAAAAGTTAAGCTTGTTAACAAATGATTAAGTATTAACTGTCCTGGGAGTTATATGCCTGTTTTCTGTGCTGAATTGGATAAGGACAGTTTTGTCCTGTGAAGCATAGAACGGTGGGTGGGTTAAAATCTTTCTAATTTATAATGCTGTTGCTAATTTTCCTCTGATCTTGGCATTGTATTTAGATGGTGAGTGCTTGCATGGATGGGGTGCTGTGAGAGGATTTACCAGGGAGCAAATAGCTAACTCTGCAAAACCATGTGCTTTTTCTTCTTCAGGCTGAAAGTCACAGCATGAAAAATCAACAAATGGACCCCTTTACCAGGCGGCAGTGTAAGCCCACAATAGTATCTAATGTGAGTGTAATACTTAAGTTCGATTGAGACCATTTGCAGAAAACTAGAAACAAGTGTATAATGCAGAGAGTAAGAGGGAAAATTCCCAACTGTGGCATATGCTATTAATGCTCTGGATACCAATGTGATATATAACTGAGTGAGATCCTGGTCTCAATTTTTTTATTGATGCGAAATGTGAAGGACATAAGTGATGTGGGTATGTACTGCAAAAGCAACCATGATTTAGGCTTCTGTAGTGAGTTCTTCTGTGCAGAATTACTCAGATTTAGTTAGCACTTGGAAGATGGTTTGCCTTAGGTGTGAGTTTCACTTCTAATCAGCTGAAACTTTTCTGAAATATTGGTGAAAGGAGAGAGGAAGAGTAGATATTTTGGGCTGTGATGGATAAAGTAATTCAACACAAACTTCCCATGTGATACTGTGGCAAAACCTGTTATTGCAGTCCCTAGATATGTAACTGATGAACAGCAAATTGATCAACTCCTACTTCTAAGTAATCTGTCCTTGCTGAGGCCTGTTCTGGAATAGTAGATGGTTCTGGTATTGGTACTTAAAAAAAACCTGGTAAGTTTGGCTCTTATCAGTCTCCACAAAACAGCAAGGGAATAGAAAAGAAATTCTATTGCAGGGCTTGAATTAAACAATTTTTTCTGAAAGAGAAAAGTATCATTAACTGAGTAGCTTTATCATGGTGTAGAAATATTATGTATAGAAAATAGTCTTCTGAAGATTTCTTCTCTCTATAGAGTGTTTCAGCCAGAACTGTAAGCAACTACATCTAACAATAGCGTTAAGAGTAGTCACAGAAACAAACTATACCAATAGGAAATGTATTTCTCATTTTTTCAAGGAAAAACTTTCTGAAGGATGATTTTCAATTTGTTACTATAAGATGCATTGCACAGGTATCAAGATGATTTCACTTGTCTCTGAGATCCTGAAGGCTGGGTGAACTAATATACAGTCTTATATGGGTTTAGATTCATGGATATGAGCACTGTTTTAACAAATTGTAGTTCTACTTTTTGCCAATTTAAATGCAATGGTTTTTTATTTTTACATTTTCCCTAATATTTCCCCTTTGCAGTCCAGAGATCCTGCTGTCCAAGCTGCCATCCTTGCCCAGCTAAATGCAAAATATGGATCTGGTGTATTACCAGATGCTCCAAAAGACATGAGTAAGGCAAGTTTCCATTTCTGTCTCTGTTATGTTCCTCACAGTCACCCTTTTACTCTGTGAAGCTTATGACTAATAGCAAGTGTGCATGCTTCAGTTCTAGAAATGGGTATCCTGAAGACCATTATCATAGAAAAGCAACAACTTTTTGTTTCTTGGGAAAAGAAACGTAAGTTTCTGTAGCAGTATGAAAGCTAAACTAAGTATGTTTGTGACAGAAGAGGGAAAACAATATTTTTATCTTTGTTTATCTGGACAGATCAGGGTTGAAGGCTTACCTGTAGTTTCTATTTCAGGGTCAAGGGAAAGATAAAGATGTGAACTCTAAATCAGCCAGTGACCTCTCAGAAGATCTTTTCAAAGTGCATGACTTTGATGTAAAGATTGATCTTCAGGTTCCTAGTTCAGGTAGGTGTTCCAGCTGAGTTTAGGGATGTGATTGTCCATCTCATTACAGTAGAGCTCACTTTTTCCAGAATAATATTTTCAAAATTATCACTGGGCTTTTGAGAATGGGAGCAAGGATTCTGTTTGTCATCTTGGCGAGTATCTTGAACTGAGGCGGGCATGTGTGGTAGTGACATCTATTGAGAAAGCAAGAACAACTGTATTGTGTTAAACACCTCTATGCCTCCATATCCTCGCTTCAAAAGCTTAGGGAGATAATGATATTTTCTGATATATTCTTCCAGTTTACATTATCTATTACTTAGAAAATCTCCAGGGAACAGATGGGTGTTGTATTTAATAAGTCTTGACAGCTACCTTGATACTTACTTTGTTGATTTGTGTAATTGCTTTTGAGGATGGATAAGCTTTGGGTGTCTGTGATGTTCTGTTCCATAGTCTGTGTACACGCTATAGGGATGAAGTATTTTTACTTGATTTTGAACCTGCTACTTTACCAAGTTGCTGTTCCCTAACTTAGGTATTGCAGGTGGTATTAGAAGATAAATTTTAGGGGAACAAAAACACTGGCCAGGAGTGAAGATACAGACAGAAACTTGCTGACTCTTTCTCTTTGTAATCTTGACTTTGACAGCCTGTGTGGCAAGAACAGTTCAGTGTCATAGAATCATTTTGATGGGAAAAGACCCTTAAGATCATAGAGTCCAACTGTTAATCCAACACTGCCAAGTCTACCACTAAACCATGTCCCTGTGTACTACATCTGCACATCTTTTGAATGCCTTCTAGGCACTCAACCACTTCCCTGAGCAGCCTGTTCCAATGCTCGACAACCTTGGCGAAGAAATTTTTCCTAACAATCCAATCTAAACCTCCCTTAGGGCAACTTGAGGCCATTTCCTTGTGTCCTATGAAGTTGTTTTACAGTGGAGGGAAAGCATGGGATTATACTAGTGCAATTTGACACACAAGGTTTATTATTTATTACATTACTTGAAGGACTACATCTGAAGTTTTTTAGAAGAAAATAATTTAGGAATTACTGTAAGAATGCACGAAGACTTAAAACCTTGTCAAGTAGGGTGAGTAGGAGTAGTTGTCTTTCCAAACTAGGTCAAAATTGAAACTCTGGACATAAGACTACAGAATGAGGTAGGATGCCAAGGATAGGAGACTTCCTGAAGCAGATAGTGAGAGTTAGCAAGCAGATGAGGGTTAGGCACTGAAAAGAGAAGGATGAGACACACAGTTTTCCTTAGAAAGAACACCATTTTGTGCAGTCTTCTTTCTTAAGAGAGAAACGTGGAGATTTGTTAAGATGTGTATTGTAGGCATGGATAGGAAATTTAACTTTGCCTGCTTACTTCCTGTATCTTTGTGCTTGCAGTAATGGGATAATGATTTACCAAAGATTCCAGAACTGAGCCTGAAAGCTGTTTATACTGTGACTTTAGAGTGGTATCGTTTTCTTAAGAAATTAAAGTATACTTATCAACAGAAAGTTGGATTAACAGACAGAGTCAAAATTGCATGAGCTGTATCTCTGAAGATAAGCTCCCTGTATTATTAACTTAAGTTCTAACCTGATGTATACTAGAGAAGTCAAACATGGTTTTGTGGTGAAGTTATTAACAAAAGCAGCTAGTAAAAGTCTGTAGTTTTCCTGTATTTTGGTTCTCACTCTTTTCTTATCCCCAACAGAATCTAAGGCATTGGCCATCACCTCCAAGGCTCCTCCAGCAAAAGACGGTGCCCCGCGGCGATCATTGAACTTGGAGGACTACAAAAAGAGACGGGGGCTTATTTGAGCGTGCCCACTCTGCTGCTTCTGATCCTGCATGCTCCATGATGATGTCCTACCTTTTCTTCCTCCCTTTTCAGTTCTCCCTTCTGGGTTGGAGCAGCAATGGAGCTGGGAAGAGACTCTTTAAAACTGCCAGTCATCTGTAACATAAACCATTCAACTATTTACTGTATAGACCTCCCTTCTTGCCCTTTCCTCCTGCTCCCCTCACAAATGTGGATCTGTGCTATTTGGGGTTTTCCCATTTTCTTTTAGTTTGAGTTTTGTTTTTATTTTGTTGATGCAGCTCATTGGTCCACTCTGTGTTCAGTATTAGCCTGAGGTCTGGATTTCCATAGGAATCTCTTCGCAGTCACAGAATCAGCACTTGGTGATCTCCCCTTACATACCACCACAGGCACAGTGAATAAACATTGGCGCAAGACCGTTGTGGCTGGAAGGTCATCTGCACTTTCTTCCTCTTCTTCTTCCTCCTTCATCCTAGCTTTGGAGAAGGGAATCTTCAAAAACTGGCCTAGGTTCAAAGTGTAAATTTTTTGGGAGGGTTGTGTGACTTTTTTTCAGGTGTTTTTTATCATTTTTAAGCTGCAGTACTATTTGTATCCGTCTGTCACAGTTCTTTACGGCTGTTTTGAATTTCTACCAGCTGTACTTGAGCATCTGAAATTGCAAGAAAGAAACTCATTAAATGTGATTCTTCTTACTAAAACGGCTTGGCTGATATAGCTGTTTAACTTCACGTTCCCTTTTTTAATTACACTTAACTGATGAGAAAGAGGTACACACAGATCTTAATGTGGGACTTGTCATCCACAGCACATCCAAAGTCTCTAGAGGTAGCTGGGTGAGGTAGCTTTTTGTGGGATGACCCTGGAGTGCTCATCAGTTGGACTATAGTTTCTTCATCAGGCCTTCAGTATTACATGTTTGTTAAGTCATCATGTCTTTACTGGGCTCCAGCTCACTTTGTTTCTTGCTTTATGAACCATTTAAATGGGGCTCCTAAAAACAAATAAAAATTAAAAAAAAAAAATCACGTTCTGCGGAAGGGGAAGAACGTAATAGAAAGGTCAGTGGGTAATGTATGAGAGGTAGCTGATGCACGTTTTTCAGATATAAACTGGTACAAGTGAAGTGCACAAGAATCGTGTGGCTTTATGGAATATTTGACTGGACACGAGTTGACAGCTAAATTATCACTCAGGTGTAAAAAAAAAAAAAAAAAAAAAAAAAAAAAAAAAAAAAAAAAAAAAAAAAAAAAAAAAAAAAAAAAAAAAAAAAAAAAAAAAAAAAAAAAAAAAAAAAAAAAAAAAAAAAAAAAAAAAAAAAAAAAAAAAAAAAAAAAAAAAAAAAAAAAAAAAAAAAAAAAAAAAAAAAGAAAAAAATCAAGTGTAAATATAAGCAAAATTTAACAAAGAACTTTTCCAGACAAGATACAACTGAATATATGAAACTAAGAACTAAATTAAAAGAGAATTAGAAGTCTAAAAGGTTAGAGGCCCTCGTTCAGGTAAGCGTGCAAGCACGTGTTTGTTCCTGCTCAGGACAGTACATATATAATAACTTCAGCACTGAACTGGATAGGAATGTTTCTGGGGGACCCTGAAGAGGGAAAATGCTGATGCTCTTCTTGTGTCAGAGCATTACTGTTTTTCTGAAATCATACACTGGTTACATTTCAACCTGTGTTTGATACTTTCTTGTTGGATTCTTAATGAAACTTTAATCTAGTTCTTATTTAACTTAATCTTCCTTTTTTAACAGTAGCTTTAAAGAAGCATCATGTAATTGTGTGCAGATTGATTCTACAAACTGTGTATAAAAAGAAAATCAACCTACAAAGCAGCTCTTGCCTATCATGTAAACAAATAATTAGGAATATTTCAGTACTTATTTACTGAATAATCCATAGTTCTAGGACACATATGGATTATTTTGTAAATATGTAATCGTAGACTGCTTTATTTGATGGCCTATTTTAGCAACTTCTCTGGAGTTGTAGTAGGCTCTCACATATATGTACTTTTAACTTTTTAAGATTGAATTTATGGAATCTACAGTCATAACTTCATAGGAAATGTGATTCACTGTGTAGATATGCATTTGATATGATTTTGGTTTTTTCAACAGCTTCAGTGATGTTACAGATTTGTAATGAAATCTAAACTTACTTTGTAATAGCCAGTTTTCAAAATAATCGCTCTCCAATGCTTTGCAGAAATAATTGCCAAATCAAGCAATTCAGGAGTTGATTTTTCCACAGAAATGGCTCAGAGTTCTGAGATGCAGTGACAAGTCTCTAAAGGTAAAGGTAACTGAAATACAATATTTTAATGTGTTTGGCCTTCCTGTATTGGTTTTAGTTAACTTCTACGTTTGGTAACACAAGAATAATCTGTACTACAGCCAAAACGTGGATGAGACCCTGTACAGTGTTGGCAAGTAACTTTTAGTAGAGATAACCAAAACAGAGGAGATACAGTGAGTTTAGGATGCCAATCTTAATGATGGACCATGTCCTAGTTATCTGCAACTATGAAACTGCCACTTACCCTCTCAAAGTCTCTGGATTTTGCTGAAATGCTGTTTTTTAAGAGAGGTAACAGTAAATTATCATGCAAACCTCTTATATTGAGAATAATACATGAAGAAAGTACTCTCAAATAGTTACAAAATTGTATGAAAGCTGTAATCTTTTTCCTTTAAGTGCATGTAAAGGTGAGTGACTACACCTCCCACCTGTTAGAGAGGGAGAGATTTGTTTACTTTGTTTTGTTGGTGTCCTAGCATAGTTCATCACAATTGTACAGACTTCTATAAATAAACTTGGTTTGTTGGTTTAATAAGGTTGATTGTTTATCCCTTGATCTGAGGTGCTAAGGGTTTCCTGTCTGGAATTAGTTTTTTTAGAAACTTACACTTCTCAATCTGGATGATTATATTTAATACCAATCCTGTAAAATAATTAAAGAAAGCCTCCTCTTTTGCAAGAAGAGCTGTTAACTCCTGATCACTCTCTAACATCTAGAGTTGGTCCTTATCACTAGAATCGAGTGGAGTCTCTTGGAAGGTCAGTTCACTTGCACCTCTGCTGCATCTCACTTAAAACACAGGCTTTGCTTGTCTTGTAGAAATCCAGAGTACGTTTTTAATCAAAGATGGTAAAGCATATAGCTGAACTTAAGCTACTGGATGAGGTGGAAAAGACTGTTCTCAGGGGGTGCTTGGTGGAAGGATGAGACACAGCAAGCATACCTTGAAACAGGGTAAGTTTTTCCAAGATATGAGAATAAAAAGTCACCCTTAGGACAGTTAGACAGTGCTCTAGGTTTCCCAGAGAGAGTTTTCTGTCTTCATTTTGAGGTTTTCAAGAGAATGTTAGATGAAACCATGAATAACATGATGTAGCTTACTCAGCTTTGAGCAGGAGGGTGGACTGGAGACCTCCCTGAGCTCCTCTCTGATCCGAATAATCCTGTGATTCTATAAGTAATTTCATATTTCTTTCTCCAGTTTTTGTCTGCCTTCCCTGCAAGTACTGCCCCCTCCCAATCCCCATTCCAACATGCAGACTACATGTAGCACATAGAATTTGTCTCACAGACGTAGTGGCTTATGATGGGCATTTCCCAACACACGCATCCTTTCTGAGACTCCCTGGTTGTAGACACCTGTAGAATTCCTGCGAGGGTTGTCTGTGAAACAAAGTTGTCCCTGCAGATTAACCACTGAGCAGGCTGGAAGACTGAGCCTTTTACAAGGTAGAGTGAAGATCTGTTTTAAGAAAAATTACAGAGTTACCTGAGTTGCCAAACAGGACTTGGCTATTTGCAAATGAGGATTTTAGGCTATTGATTTAGTTGTGGTTTGGCTTCTCTATACAGTCCATGCATTAGTTTCCTAATTTTTATTGTTTAATTGAATTGAAAATGTTAAGAACAGTTCTGCTACCATAGCCCAATGCTGATGTGGACAGTGACTCTCTTTGGGAAAAACCTGGAATTTAGCAACTGGTTCTTCCTAAATTCTGCATTCTGCATTCCAGTAGTCTGTGGGTTATAAAGCATATTTTAGTAGAGCAAATAATTTATCTGTGTGTTATTAAATTGGGTAGGTCAATTGGGAAATTAGTGGTTACTCATACAAATGCTTGCAGGCAACATTCCTGACTTAACTGCATGTGCATAAATTACTGTGGATTCTGCACAAATTTGTTTGGTTTTAGTATAATTTTGCTATATGAGAACTATGTTTTTTGAGTACTATTCTGGAGAAATTATAGTAGGTCAGTGCTGAAACCCATGATTATAGCAAAGGAGAAAGGGAAGAAAGCCACTGGAAAAAAAAAACTTGATGTAAGTCTCAGGTTGATTTCCTAAATCTCACATTAATTCTCAAGTAAAAATTTTACATTTTCTCCAGTCTTCCTGGGGCAGGTTTTTGTTTGTTATTAAACATCTGTCACTTTTTTCTGCAGAAAATACAAGGGTGGATAGGGTAATAAATCACACTGTAGATGAGTAACTTTGTCAATTTGTTAAAGACCATTTTAGACAAGATTCATAAATACAGTTAATTGCTAAATGAGCACTGGAATGGAAGCAAAGAATACAGGTTACTTTCTGGCAGGAGTATATATGTACAATGACCAAAATACATCAAGTCTTTGGGTGGTTTGGATTTATGTCTCAGTGGTTGGAGGAAGGGGCAGCAGAGTAGAAAATTAGAGGTTGAGAGTGATCTGCCTTTGTGAATGGCATGAATAAGATCACTATGGCTTGTTTCACTGCACCTGCTTCAGAAAAGAAATTCAAAGTATCTCCACTTGAGAGTGAGGAGGAAGAAATCTCAATGGCTATAAAATACGGCACTAAATTAAACAGATAAAATTTTATCTGATATTTGTGATAATTATGACTTTGATCTTTATGAAAGCACCATTCTTCAGTCATTTGTTTGCTCTCCTTCATGACTGTGGACAAATGTAAAATTGCCTCATACACCACCTGGTGCACAAAAGTAATTGCCTTGAGTGCAACAATGTAAATGGTGTCTACTTCAACTCTTCTCTGTAATTCTTCCTGGTGGTGTTACTGCCAACAGGTAACTTGCTTCCATTATTTTTCAAGATTCAAGTGTTGCATAAAAGCTCAGCTTCTAAAACTAGATGTGTGGCACTCAGTTTTTAGGCCCTTGACTGGAAGCAGTGGTGGAAGACTACAAGCTGATGCACAGAAGCAGTCTGAACACCAGTGACTTGGCAGCTGATGATGCATGGCCGTTTTCTGAGGTGGCAGTTCTAGTGAAGCCTTTGCTGCTTACCCTACAAGGTATTTCTCATCTTATTCAAGCAACAATTGACTTTTTGTGCTGATTGATGGTATGGCAATTAGAAAAAAAACTGTTGCTTATATCCCAAATATGCTTTAGAGGGTTACAATGAAAAATTACAGCTTTTCCCAAGAATGGCTCTTATACAGTGTTTTTTTCTGGCTGCAGGTAGCACAAACACAAGCTCAACAGATGGTTTATTATTGTAGGCTTCCTTGATTTGGGTAAAAAAACCTGATCTACCTGAATGGAAAAAGCAGATCATATACAACATAGACACATAAAAGGAAAAAGACAAATTTTTTTTTCATGCTTTCCTCTTGAAGACTTACCAGTTGTGAAAAACTGAGAGGAGTGATTCTTCCTATAATGAAGCTCTCCCCTTGCAAGTGTCTTGATGGACTAAGGAGGCAAACTGGTTTTCCACTATTAAGGTAAACTCGAACATTTGAATAAATGGCCTTGTCATCTGAAAAGGGCTAGGTGAATTTCGAACACAAAGCAGTCACTTTCAATTTTGAATCAAGATTAGTTGATTATTAATTTGATTGTTAATTTTATTTCCTTTGCAAACTTCCACGATATTTTCCAAATGATCAAAGACAAGAAGTTGAAGATAGCAAAGTATGATGGCAAAAACTGAATTTAAATGTAAGCTGAGTACCATTTTATCACTCCGTAAAATTCTCTTCTAGCTCCTGGT